ACACAAGTGTTTCCTGATTATATTATAAGACGTCTTCAACTTTACGTTGTGAGTAAATATTAAATACTAGCTATAGCCCGCCAAACATTAGTGACAGCAATGCATGAACTTTCCATGTAGTACATTTACTTGACAAAACATGAACTCAAGTAACACACATTTAAGAATCCCAATATTTGCTACACCCCTTCCCCATGATACGTCACTGTACACTTTTTATTTCACGCCCATGAACTATATTAATATTCTCATGTCCCAACCACTTTTAAACAGAAGATTTTTAACACAATACTTAAATTGAGACGATTTCATTTCCGAAAAGAAAATATTACGCATCAAACGCAATTGCGTTATTAAATATGTATAAATATATATATCATTTAGCGTAGTTATCGGGAATTATATTTTGCGCGCTAGTGAACTCATTATAAACTCTGGCGTATCTATATATAGCCTGTGTGGTGGGGGTATTTGACCTTTGCTGGCGAATTATATACATAGATATAATAAATTATTTCAGAACTAAAATAAAAATGTTTAACTTTGCCTATTGAGATAGTTCGTTCAATAAAACTTCTATCTTTATTGTATTGATACAATATAGTTGATATACAAAAAAATAGCCTTTTTATTTCTTGTTTATTTTTTGTCTCTTTTTTTTTTTTTTTTTTTTTTTTTTTTTTTTTTTTTTTTTTTTTTTTTTTTTTTTTTTTGTCAATAAGGCTTTCCAATAACAAATAATAAATATTTAGAGGCAAATGTTTGGCTTTAACGCTGTGTTCAATAGGCGCGCACAATAAAACTCCCAGAAGCTAGCTCTCATTGGGATTACTATAAAGCGCGTTCCTTAAATTCATTTTTTTAATTAAGGAACGTAAATTAGCTGGGGAGATCACACAATGCCGCCGCTCATGTTTGACGTTGTGCTTCTAGTCCCCTAATGATCCCAATGAGACCACCATTAAATGATGATCAAAATAGTGTTGTACTGCACAGATGGCCATGCCAATATTTGTGAGAAAAAAAGTTTAAAAATAAAACGGTTAACACAAAATGAACTGATTCATCCACAAATCAAGGAGTCTCAGCCCATGCATCCAGTGACCCAGTTTCACTTCACATCCTGTCCAGACAAGGGTGTACCAGAAAACCCCTGGGCTCTAGTGGACTTTGAACAAAGAGTGGCGGCTACTGCCACCAAAAGGCCCATTGTTGTTCACTGCAGGCGATTTAATATAAATAATTCGTTACCGTAACCATTATATCTTCTTCAACATGAATCACTGACTGAATGCGGGGAGTGGAGTGGGCTGTTCGTAATAAAAAAAGAATGTTTGATAATTTAGAATCAAAATCTTTATATTTAAATGATGTTTTCCTTGGGAAGTTTTCTGAGACAATATCTTCTGTCACATATATTTTATAATAAAATAACCGTTATTTCTGTACAAAGAAACAAAATATTTGAACCCTGGAAACAATTTTATTGAAATATGTTTTCCTCTACTTTTCAACAAATTAGATCAAGACTTTTTAAACGTCTAAAGATGTTGATGATGTAAAAATTGTTGATTGTAAACACCAGTCAAGTCAAACTTTATATTGCTTTACTTTATAAACAGTGGGAGCACGTCTACAAATATATATTTTAGTGTAAATGATATCAGATATCCACCTAGTTCGCACATTCTTAAAACATTTTTTCTTTAACATTTTTCCTCATTATATTTTAAAATAACTTTAACCCTTTCTGTTCATTTTCAGTGCCGGTGTTGGCCGTACAGGAACATTCATAGCTCTACGTAACGTAATGAGAGAAGCTGAGGATACACAACAGATGGATTTTTTCACTACTGTGGCCAAACTCAGGCAGGACAGGACGATGATGATACAGACAGCTGTGAGCCACCTTCACATCACATTCTTTTTATCTCTTTGTAGTTTCTGCATTCATTTATATGAAGGAATTAACTAAACATTGGTGCCTTTTTTAACGTAAACTTAAACAGTTTGAGAACTTAATGAATCCCTGTTACAACATTGATTTGATAAAAATCAATGACAGTAGAATCAGGTTCAATGTCTCTCAAAAGTATACAATGGGTATCGTTAAAATGTATGTTAAAATGTTTAGCTTTATTCAACAATAATTAAGAAACATTAGATTTAACGAACCATTTTATCCCACCCTATATTCTTAAATCTATAACTAAAACTATGTCATTGTAGAGGGGCTAGGGGTTGATCATGCACACACACAAAATGTTGATAGACATAAAAACTTCAATTTTAAAAATAATAAGTCGAAATAAATATCATTGATTTCTTTTTAGGTTTTTTCTTTTTTTTTTTCAATTGTAATTACCAATGTTTTTTTAAAAAATGCAACATGTGCACTTTTATTATGCAAAGATTTTTTCCCAAACAGCAAATTTTGTTTAATTACACATCTTCTGGTCCTGGTTCTGGTAGGGTACGTTGCTGAATCCATGTACTGGCATATGTGGGACGGTTGATGATGCGATGCTGGCATTTTATCGGCTCCTAGCGGATGCCAGGGCAGTTTTGAAGCTCTCGATTAACGTCGAGTTTACGTGATTGTGCGTAGGAGAAATAATAGATTTGGTTGCTTCACTAGAAGGCCTATTTCTGTTATCAGTTTGGATTTCTTTAACATAGAGAATGAGTTCTCAAAAATTTATTTGCTGTGATGCAGGGTCAGTAAGTGTTGGGATTCAATAACTTTTTTAAAAAGGATTTGACATATTATCCTGACTGAATGCTTTAAATTTTGACCCCAAAAAAAAAAGATTTTTTTTTTAAAGATAAGACTCCACTACTTTTAGTTTTTTCGTGTAAGATATTTACTCCTTCGAATTCCAGGAAAAACCCATACAAAAACGTGTACGATCGTAAAAACATAGCAGTGATACCGGTACAAAGTATGGGTAAACCTTATCAAATGGAATTTATGATATAGTTGTCCATAATTTTTTACAATATTTTAATTCATAAAAGCCTTAAAAATAAAATTCAACTATGTTTTTTTCCCTGCACATGCTTATATTTCCGGAGCAATATGTCTTCTTACACGAGGCAGCTAAGGTTGCCATGACCTGTATAAATACAACTATAACATCCAATAATATTGCAAACAGAATTCAAATGTTACAAAGGAGGTCTGTGTCTGGAAAAACTGAAATGGAAATTGAATTTGTATTAAGTAGATCAAGTATTAATCACCAAAACCTAATGTTAATGAGTATTACAAATTCTAGGTTAATAGTTGAATTTTGTTGTTGTTTTTTGTTTTTAATAAAAATAATTATGATAGTGTTAGTTGTTGTAAGTTCCCGAAACTCAAAAACATAATTTGACTATAATAGAAATACAAAGTGAATGGTACAAATATGAATAAAATCGTATTTCCTATATTTTGTTTTATTTGGGCTATTTATAGGCAGCGTGCAGTGTGGGTGAGGGTGATATGGAAATTACAGATGAAGAAGGATCAGCAGGAACTATGTACCAAAACAGTCGAACTGTTTCTAATAAACTGAAAAACAGATTTGGTAACGTCTTGCCAAGTAAGTTTATAACATGTGACGCTTTAAAAGAAACCCTTCTGCATACACATAGGTCACGTGGAAACAATCGGCTAATGATGGAGCTTCGTGGCGCTCCTTCGTACACAAAGGTTCCATGAAACAAGAAACCAACAGAGCTGCTGAGCACAAAAGACAATTCTGATAAGTCTGAATTAAGGATGCGCCTGGATATTCCCCATTTTTCCTTTTCAACTACTACACAGGGAAATTTTTTACCAGAAACGGTCTCATCCAACATCAGCGCCCCTATTGACTGAATCAGCTTCTCCATCATTCGAAAGTGGGACTCATTGAAATGATGGGCAATCTTAATGAGCATATTTTCAAAAATCAAAAATCTTTAATTGATTACAAATTATAAAACAATTATACACCTTCAGACATAAAGCTTTAACTAATATCTTTAGCATTCAATAAAATTGGAGTCAAGTCCAACAAAATTAACTTAGCATTAATTTCGCATCTTTTATTTGCAAAATAGAGGACTTATACAGACCAGTGCTGATGTGCTACTCCAGTGACATGGGAGATTATATCAATGCTGAGTCAACACCGGTAATTTGACTTAGCCTTTAGTCATTTAAGGATGTACTTGTGAAATTCATTCTCGAGTAACCTCGTTGTTACGGACGTCCTGGTTTGTAGCGAATATTTCAAAAATCCGTGTAGTCTATTTACGTCTATGATTTTGAACTGCCTCTTTCAATCACAAGCCACATTTTGGGTAACATTTTCAAGCACGCCAACACACTGTTCAAGTATCTAAAGCTCTTCTTTCAATCACATAAAGCAAGATATAAAAGGCTCAAAATAAATAGTAATCTATTGACTATTGATGAACATTACGTTAAAGGAAACCTGATGGGCCCTTTACATGAAGTTTGAGCAATTTTATCTGTATGACAACTCTCAACACTACTCAATACAAATCAAGAACTCTCTAATCACCAAGAATGCTAACGCTCTTAGAATCAACTGCAAAATCTGCTCTGAGAACTCTTAATACCCCCATTATCTCGTGCTCACACACCATATATATTCTACTCCCATGTTTATTATTCTGTCCCATTTCTACCAAAGGCACCACACGAATACCAACCCAACTCACGAAACATTAATTTCCAAATACTTTACCATATCAAAAACAGTATGTACTGCTTTTAAACTGATGTCATCACTGTGTGGTCCTTTTATAAATTAGCGTATTATGGACATTTATTTGTTATTCACGGTAAAGTTAGTCACTATCCAAATGTATCCTTTTGGATTCCATTTTTAAATAGCAAAATGTTTAAATTTAAATAATGTATTTTAATATAAAGCTTACGTATAATTAATTGTACTGTAAAAGTTTGAAGAATATTCCCTGCAATTTTTCAGAGTTTCAGACAAAGAAATCAAGATATCATCACACAACTTCCACTCCCAACAACAGTGGTGGACTTCTGGCGTCTCATTACTCAAATGAAAATTTCCTTAGTTGTTGCATTTGAGGAGCAATTAAAAACTACAGATTCGGTAATTAGTTTTTTGACATATTATTGATTTACTTTTCCATATGTGTTACATTAGACTGAAATTCATACCAAACAAAAATTATTTTACACGATGACCTCTTTCATGAAAATTATAAGTTTGTTATCAAAAAAAAAAAATTACTTCTCCTCATTCTTAAATGTATAAATGCCTTGTAATGGCGATATGTAGTTGCAATAACAATGAACAATGGGTAAGTATACCCATAACCTGTTTTGTATATCAACATTCAGACGATAGGTCAATATCTGCCAGCCAGTCAAACAGAAAAAGCCAGCTTCCCCCCATTTCACGTCAATATGGGAACATTATATCAAGGATCTGACTGGGAAGAACGAAAACTCATTGTACCTGGTCCAAAGGTAGAAAATCATATTGTACCAAAAATACTTTAATAGACACTAAAATTACATTTAGCCCTTCTGTTAGGATGGAGCTTATTAGGAGTAATCAAATGTCACGCAGGTCAAACATTATCATTAATTTCAATTTTGAGAATATCTATCATGTCCATTTTATCATTTTGGTTCTTTTTTAATGGATATCATTATAAAACAAATCATTCTCTGGATTGATAGCTTTCAGTGTCATTCATTTCTTTTATTATGGTTTTCTTTAATTGACATATATTATAAAGGAAGCAGAAGATCACAGCCTCATTCACCTTAGATATACACAAAATGCCACAGATCCAATTAAAATATTGGCATTTCTCAAGCATGCAAGGACATATAACCCTGAGATGAATGCCAGAATTGTGTACATGTGCAGGTGGGTGTCATTGTTTTGAAATGAAAGAATTTGAGTAGTAAACTTTGTAAATAAAAATGGCTTTAACTTTTGTCATTTATTTTAAAACGTCATTTAATGCTTAATTTATGCTAAGCTAACTCTTTATCCTATATAATGTATGTCTACACATTCAATCAAATATTGCTCATACCAACAAATGGTGCAACATTTAGCTAAATGGCTTGTGGTTTGACCAAATTGAAGACCTTGGCACATTTTAAACTTTAGGAAGTCTTTATTAAATTCAATAACTGCTACCTTTATATAATTATTGTTCAACACACAGGAATTATTCTAATATTTCAATTATCCTTTATGCTCACAAGTCATTTACACTGCCAACAACATAGCTTTTCTTCGTAACAGCTATACATTCTACAACTGATATCAATTATAACCTTTCCAGAAACGGTGCGACATTCAGTGGTCTGGCCTGTGTCTCGACCCTCCTACTGGACAGAGTGGACAATGACCAGCGCCTGACTGTTCCACTCGTCGTTGGTGCCATCAAGACTATCCGCACTCAAGTTATCCCAACAGTGGTAATTATAATATTAACTTAAAGATCTGAGCTTCTTAAATTATGATTATATTTAAGAAAGGAAAGTTTTATGACAGCATGAAAATAGAGATGGTTTTAATATCCATACAATAATAAAATCGTATGGGTCATAGCATTGAAATTCAGAATATCTTTGAAATAAATAAATAAACATGAATCAATATCAAGATTTATTAGTAGAAGCCTCTGGTCATTTAGAACCGATTTTGAACAACTTTTAATATTACGTATCATGGCTTTTGACAATGTTACTAGCATTGAATGTTAACTAAAAATGTCGTATTCTTAGGAATGGTCTCCATTTCAATCTTAAATAGAAGGTTTGAGCATGTGCTTGTACTAAAACAATTTATTAAACCTAGATAGATACTGTATCGAAATATTTTGCCAGGACACTCAAATTCCAAAATAGCTAAAATGGAATACAAGGAGCCAACGGCCGACTTTTATTTTTCATAAATGATTTCTTATACTATTTTGGTAGGGGTGGGGTGGGGGCGATTTATATTATGAGTTGAGTGTTACTTTTCAGTCTAAAGATTATAAACAGCCCAAAATTTCAGGTGTAACTTAAAAGGGGATCTTTAAAAAGAAGAGTTTTTTCCAACCCAGCTTGATGCTTACACATAACCCTCAGCCATGCCCCTATCTTTAAGATAAAATTGTACAGTATATTTTAGGATACGCCCTTATTTAAAGTTAAAACACGGGGTAGGGGTAAAACTCATGAAAGACGACACAAAATAGTCTGCTTTTCTGCTAAACGCCTTCAACTGCAAAGAAAGGGTATTGATAAAACACAAATTAGTTTTGTAGGAGTAGATCACTTAATTTTTTAGTTCAAAATGAAATCGTTTCTAATGAAGTGCTTTATAAAGTCTAAGAATTTTGGGGAGGAGGTTAACAGAAAAGTTCAACAATATTTTAAAATTTTATAAAACAAATCAACCAAGAAAATAAATTAGGAAGGGAACGACGATTACTGTAAAATGGCAAGGACTGATTAGATAAGGGAACAAACGTAGTGAAAAGTAAAAAAAAATGAAATGGAAATACTAGGTTATTTGCTGTAGATTTTAAGAGGTTGATAAAGACTTAGCGAGTGAATATTTTTTTTTTTAATTTAATCGTTACATATTGTTATTTGGTTTTGAAAATGTAAGTTAAGCTGCTGGCTCTCGGAATGCTGGCATCCGTCCGTCACAATGTGACGATGGAGTGCGCTTCGGAGGACGAAATCCACATGGCCTGGGATGATTCTTCAAGGATTATAAGCTGGTTCCCAACAGCAAATCGCCTCTCTCCACGCCGCTGGATAGCCCAAGGGAACATCGTTGGATGATACAGCTTGGCACCAGTGACGTCGCAGGAGTTGTCGGAATGTTTCATTGTTATCCGATGTCATTCAATGTTATCCGCCTTTCGGGACTCCATCTCCGGGTTTGATTTCAGAGTGTCCTTCTCTTAGATGAGTTTCCATCCAAGTTTAACGAGTCTCATCTACCCGGGGGGGGGGGGGGGGGGCTGGTGGTGTTATTGCTTGACTGGGCTCTGGCTGGAAATGAGCTCCAGACCACCAACTTGAGATTTGCTCAGTTTGGACCATTCGGCCACCCAGCACCCTCGGAATGAACGATACGTATTAAAGAATTGAAAACCAGTACACAAAGATAAAAGGAAAACAAAGCTAGTGATACTAACAATAATCAATTTAATTGTACGGGTAACTGAAATAAAATACAATATTAAAAATACAGAAATAAAAAAAATATCAACTTATAGCACAGCAAGGCAAAATGTACACTCCTCGAAAAATATTAATATTAATTTACACGTAATTTACACACAAATATAATGATACACAATGGAATGATTTATCGTCTGGTAAAGTGTCAGGAAAATAAGCGAAAGTATGCTGGAAAAGCTGCCAGCCTAGATGTTAAGGATTAAATTAAATCATCAAGGAAATACATTATATAAACTATGTCACCTGTTCGCATTCTTTAGAAAAAATAGAACGTATTCAAGCGTAAACAACCTTTTCCCAATCAAAGAAGGGTGGGTAAAGTGTATTAAACATTTAATCAGTGGCGTCAATATTTTAAAAAATGAATGGGAGATAAGTGTTGGTGGCTAAATTATGCCTACACATATGCCATAGCAGAATTTGATATCATGTGTTCCACAGCAATTGAGGGCGCTGTCATTTGGCAATCGTTTCGCGTCAGCTGCCTCGTAAATTGGTTGCAAGGTAGAAACTCGTCGTAGAAATCACTAATAAAGGGCGTCTGATGCTTCCCTGTGGTGGGCAGGGGAAGATTTAAGGACGTAAATATACCATCTCGATTTTTGGGAAAGTTGACTGCTGAAGCTGTGAAAGCGGCATCACCGGCTGACCGGATGTCCTTTTGCTGGGGTGGGCTGCGCTAGTACTCGATCGAGTCTGTGCTGGGGTGTGCTGGGCTAGTACTCTATCAAGTCTGTGCTGGGGTGGGCTGGGTTAGTACTCTATCAAGTCTGTGCTGGGGTGGGCTGGGTTAGTACTCTATCAAGTCTGTGCTGGGGTGGGCTGGGTTAGTACTCTATCAAGTCTGTGCTTGGGGGGGCTGGGCTAATACTCTATCAAGTCTGTGCTAGGGGGGGGGGGCTGCGTTTCTCTATCAAGTCTGTGCTGGGGTGGGCTGGGTTAGTACTCTATCAAGTCTGTGCTTGGGTGGGCTGGGCTAATACTCTATCAAGTCTGTGCTAGGGGGGGGGGGCTGCGTTAGTACTCGATCGACCGTGTGCGGGCGGGGGCCTGTCGTAGCAAAGAGAGACCTCAAACGCGCCGTTCTGCGGTCCGATTACTCGGGCTTGAGGGAGGGTGTACTTCTGGAAAGGTGTAAGAACTAATGTACTAGCTCGACGGCTCGCTGACGCCACTTCCTCATGGACAGGGTTCCATAGAAGTGTATCGGTATGTTGTTCAAATCTTCCTGGGCTGGGATGTTGGGAAATGAAACAATATCTTTAATGAACACATCCATCGAGGATTTTATTCGCTTTCATTGAAATGAGAAAAAAAACCAATACAGTGTTTATCTTTTGCAATGTTACGTAGGTGTACATTGAACATATTGGCACCTCGCCGTCTTGTCTCCTCCTCAAAGAAAAGTACGCAGAGTTTACAGACAATGTTATTTACAAGAATACGTTACATTTAGGATATTTTGTTTTCTTGAAAATTCATTTACAAATAATATTGAAATTTAAATTTGTGGATGATTGGTTTTATACATATGTGTGTTAATCTATTTTAATGTTTGGTAAACAGAGGGATGAAGTTTCTACAAAGCGATATTTCTGTATTTTTTTATTCTAATTTCGTGATGCGTTTTATTAATTTTTTAACAGGTATGCTGAAATTCCTTTTACTTGTTTTCATATTTTTCGTAAATACATGAGCAATACAAAGCTCTTTATCAGGCTCTCCAAATATATAACGAAGCAAGTGACATTTATTTTTAACTTAAACGACCCCAAGCTCTCGGTCCCTTCAAGTGATGACGGCGAAGACAATTTACGAAATGTTGGGAATGAAGCCACTGTGTACGCCAATTCAAAGGTTTAAATGTTAAACATGTCAACAAATAATATGTTAATAATACGAAAAAATTTAATTATTAAGTTAAAAAATTTCCCTGTTTAGATTTTTAAACCATCGTTTATTATTATTTCTGAAATGCACATTTTAAAGAATCTAAATTTTAACTATTTTATACTCTACATTTATTTTTTTTAAACATTCTTTTTTTTTTATTAATGACATAATCGTCTTGACATTAATGTATATTATTAATCCAGTTCATTATTCAGATCTCCCTTGTAAGCTTATCGGTTTTTTTGTTGTAAAACAATGTAGACATGTATATTCAATTATTCATATTGTATCCCTTTTGTCTTTGTATATTAGATAACATGTAAGTTACATCAGTGAACGTATATTTTACATTTTTGAATCCCTGTTTATTTTAACCAGTATAATCATCTGACTACAATACACATTGTAAATGTATAATGTCATCTATTAATGACATATATATATATATATATGTTAGTTTTCATTGATATGAACTATTCTAAATACATTTATAGCAACTGTTATAGAAACGTGTCTATAATGTTTACAATGTTTATAATGTTTTTAACAGTATGTTACAAAGTGAGGTTGTTAATTTTACAGAGTTCTTACAAAGTTTAAGATTTAATTGGAAAAAAAACTAATTAGAAACACTTTCAAGATGAGCAACGAAACATATTCTTGAGCAAGTTTCCTCCGTAAAGTACCTGGGTGTTACCATTCAAAGAGAGGTCCGCTGGGACGAGCATATTAACAATGTATGTAACCAAGCAAACCAAGCCTTGGGGTTCTTAAGGCGAAATCTAAAGATTGGCAACTCCTGTGTGAAAGAAAGAGCATATAAAGCCTTTATCCGTCCGATTTTAGATTATGCATCTTCAGTCTGGGACCCATTTACCCAGAAGAGCATTGACAGGTTGGAGGCGGTCCAGCGACGAGCAGCACGCTTTGTCCTAAACCGCTACAGGAATACCTCTAGTGTTGGCAGCATGCTAGAAACACTAGGCTGGTCACCATTGGAGAAACGACGACGACAATCCAGGCTCTCCATGATGTACAAGATAAATAATGGGCTGGTCCACTGTTCCAGTATTAAACAGAAACTCGTCCCTCTCCCCCATAGACAGCGACGAGGCCATGACAGGCAATTCAGGCTCATACCAGCAAGAAGCCAGTATAGGAGCTGCTCATTCCTGCCCAAGACAATCAGGGACTGGAACCATCTTTCAAAAGGAACAGTTGAGGCGACAACACTAGACACATTTGTGTCTATTGCCTCAAGCCTTCAAACCCCTAGTGCATAATTTCCTCATCACCACCAGTAACAGAAACATTGCAAATCCCATCTACATGCATAGGAGCCAAAATGATCAATAAATTGG